TGGTTGATCTCACTTAAGTTTAAGGTGGATCAAGTTGGAACAGACATGTGATGATCACATTTCATGTAGTTTCCATGCTACACATCCACATCATAATCCATGTCATTCATTTGTATTGGCATTGTGACCATTGATGGTTGAGTTGCGATAAATGTAACAAATGCTGCTTTGATCCTATGTTGATGTGATTGATGGACCGGATTGGTTAATGATACTTTTGGTTATGACAACAAATTTGAGCTCATAAGGTTATTTAGCAATGCATATTTATAAAGTTACACATATAGACCAAGTGGGAGATTGTTGGATCCTTAATCCAACATTGGGCTAATATGTGAAATAATTATTGCATTGTGGTTGTCAAATAAAGAAGCCCAAATAAAAGTGATCAATTTAGGTTTAAAGTTATTGGGCTTTAAAGTATCAATAGGGTGTGGGCCTTTAATGTGTAAAAACTAATGGGTCTTCTATTTTAATGATGGGCTAAAATAGAGATGCCCAATGTAACTTAATGTACATAAAAGGGTTGTGGTCCCTAGGTCATACGATATCGAAAGATTATCTCTTCTGCATCCCATCGACAGAGAGGTTACAGAGAAAAGCTAAAGGGTTCTCTGAAAAAGTACACGATCGTATAGACCTAGAAGGCCAAATCCCCAAATCAATCACCTATGGATTCAGGTACGCTTCCGCTATTCAGTTTTGATTCTCAATTATTCGATATGAAAGCTCCTGGATTATAGCGATGTATTTCGCCTATAGTTACTTCTAACAAGCCTAATACAAGGTGATTAACGATTTGAAAACAATTAACCTACACGTTGCCTTATTCTTTTATTTCCCATTTAATTTAACTACCTAGTAATTTTTTAAAATATTACACCCTTTAGAGCATCTCCCATGAATGATTATCCATTTTGTGTTGTATGACATGGAGAATCGAAGCTAAAAAATTATGTCTCCAATGATAAATGTTAATTGTGATTTCATTTGTGATTTGTTGAATTTTAATTGGTTGAAGAAGATAAATAAATTAAACAAATACTCTAATATACAAAAGAATTTGTCTAGAAAAGCTTCTACATCTAGAAAGCCTTCTAGAATTTTTTCAAACCGCATAATATTATTGGTGACATGTGACAACAAAATAGAAAAAGAGAAAGACCATTGGAGATGCTCTTACTAATCATTTGTTAAATAATAATATACATGCATGCATAAAAAAATAATTTAAAAAAATAAATAAAAATTTTAATATTGTAGTATATATACAAAATAAATAAATGGAAGAAATCCTGTCATTACGAATTCAATTCAAGATTTTGGAGTGCGGAGAAATTTGTTATTTTATTAGCCGGTAATTTGAAAATGTAAACTCAATTATCAAATAAAATAATATTAAAAAAAATTAATGTAGATATGGTGTTAGTTAACTCAATTATCAAATAAAAAAAAAATTGTTAACTCAATTATCAAATAAAAGAAACATTGTTAACTCGACATTCATCACCTGTCAAATAAATTCATTATTAACTCAACTAGTGTGTAGCCCGTGCGATGCACGGGTAAACATTATTAAATAATTATTGTAAACTAAAGATGATGGTAAACAATATTGACTAATAATTATAAATTAAATATAAGGGTATGTAATATTAACTAATAATTATAATTTATCGTATATCAGTTGTAGAGAATATAAGATTATCTTGTATAAAATAATATAAAAAAATTGTATGTTTAAAATATTAATATCACCTAAAATATTATACAACCTATGTAAAGTCTCTAAAATTTTATACATCATTCTTGAAAGATGTGAAATCACCTAAAATTTGTTTAAACTATTTTGTAAAGAAAAACATGTCTAAAACTATTTAACAAAATATCGCCGACAATATATTATTCACATTCCAAAAGATGATGATAAGTATAAGTAGACATGGCCAAAACACGGCCCGACCCGGCCCGCCGGTCCTATGGGCTAAAAAAACAGGGACCCGGACCCAGCACAGACCTATGCTCGTGTCGGTTCAATGGCTGGATTAACCGGGCTAGGCCTTGTCGTGTCGTGTCGTGCCGGGTCAGAACCGAGTCATTATTTTTTAAAGAAAAAAATATAGAATATTATTAAAACAACATAAAAAAAACAAGACATAGCCCACCCTGCCAGGCCAGGGTCATGAAAGAATGACCCTGAAACGGCCCATAGAAAATCCAGTACGGGCTCGAACTCGTGGTCAATGGATTTGAGTGGGCCGGGTCGGCACATCTATAAGTTTGAATTTTAGAATCCACTTGAGCATTAATTTTGAGATCCTTGTACTATTCAAATTACTAATTATGTTCATATTCTGTGAACTTTATATTGATTTATTGATTTTATTTTATTTCCATACAAAGTCGATCGTCTCATTTTGTTTTATCATATTTTCGTGGAGATTTTACAAAAACGATTGCATTTATAAAATTTTGGATATCAACTTATAATTTATAATGGACTTTTCAAAATTGTGTACTATTAACAAATAATATATTATAATTAAATATTTTTTCTTTGAAATGCACAACTATTGAGACTGAAAATTTGAAAATTATTTTACCTTTTAAAACCGAGCTTAGAAAAACTAATAGATTGGTAAACGAAGAATTGATAAACATTACCAAGTTTATTATAACACGTTTCAAATAAATATATTGTGATGATTAGTGGAAAATGATATTTGAAGAATAACGTTGAATATTTTATTTTTTTTAAAAGCACAAATATAAAGACCGATATTATAAAACTTTTATTACTTTTTGAATTGAGATTTTATAAATATAGAATCTGAGATTTTAATGTTGTTCGTTGTTTCTTAAAAAAAAGCACACTTAATAAATCTTAGCTGGAATTTCTAAATAATAAAATGAAATTAAAACCCGAAATTTATGGCAACATTAATGTTGTATGATTTTTTAAAAATAAAATAAAAAAATAGTAAAACTTACTATTTATGGATTGCATTAAAATATCTCCTATTTTTTTGCTACTATTTTTGGTAAATGGTATTTCTTATTATTATATATATAGATATAGATTATTAAATTCAAGTAAGTGGAAAAATGGAACAAGGAAATAAATTTTTGTGTGATCTTTAAATTCAAAACAAATCTGGTAACGAAAGAGAGATTGATTATGTGTGGTGGAAAAATTAATTATGACACTTTTCAATCCAAATTTGTTTCTACATTATTTATTTGAACCTAAATACAAAGCATGATATTATGATATGTAGGATTTCAAAGCGTGCAAGTCGACCACTTAGGCTCAACACATTTTGAATTAATATGTAGGGGAATAATACGAAATCAATAATTTATAATTATAAATACAAAATTTTATATTCAATTAAAGAAAGAGTTGTATACATGTAATAAATTTTGCTTTTCTCTCTCCATATCCTCAGCTACCGTGTATCTTCTTCACAAGCCACCCAAAAAAAAAAAAACCATCTTCCCTAAACCCTAATCACACAAAAACATCTTCTCGGTCCTAAAATTTTCAATAGTCAAGAGAAGAAAAAAAGAGGTCAAATTCGTCAACAGTGGAGACGAAGCAAGATTAACTCGATCCTGATCTCGTCGAACATCTCAATTTCCAGCACCCGATCATAAGGTCGTCCAAAAAAAACTCCAATTTCAAAAAATTGAAGCTCCAAGAAGTTCTAAAAACCGACTGTCAAGACGACTGAAGTTAATTCCAACGGAGATGACAATTTTGTGTCCAAACCCAAGAAAAAAAAAATGTCCGACAGCAGGAAGAAGATGAGGCTTAGAGACAACAAGTGTATAACAACGATTGTTGATTCTCCAAAGAATCAACGAGAGTCTAATTCTGATTTCATACTTGATGAAGAGGGAGAAGAACATTCAAGTGAGGTGGGTGCTGACATCTCAAATGACGACAATGAAGTAGGTGCAAACATCTGAAATAACATCTCATGTATATCTAAACGTCTTATGGATTATGCCACCATGGTCTAAATTTGCATATGTCTAGCATATAATTTGTATATGTTTAGCATAGTTGATTAAACGTGGAGTACGTTTAGTATCATGGTCTAATTATGCACATGTTTATCTAAAGTATAATTTAAGTATAAATGTTTAATCTTTTGAATATGCTACTTTGTTGTTCTGGAATTGTTTATCTCAAGTTTATCTTCCTTATACTTTATTGTTTTAAGCACAATATCTGCAGTCAGTGTTCTAAAAGTCGCTAGGCGCTCGACCAATGCCTAGAACGCCTAGGCCGGACCTAAATCAAAATTAAATACTCAATTTTTTTTATTTATTATAACTACCTATAAAATAACCATCTCAAATTTTTAATAAATCCACACGCCTAAGTCCAAATAATAATATTAATATATATTAAAAGAAAAATGAGAACAAAATAATGTAATTAGTATTTAAAAAATCTAAAAAATTGCTGCCGAGCCCGCCTAGGCGCCGCCCAGCCCGCCAACTCTGCCTAGGAGCGCCTAGGCCCGCCTAGGCACCACCTAGCCGCCTGTTTCTGTCGATTTTTTTTATAGCACTAAAATGAACAAGCTCAAATGGACTATAGAACAAACAGGTCTCTTGAGATAAATAATCATCCCCACGCAGCATAAATTAACCTGCCAAAAACTTTAGCAACTTTGGTTATTATTAGCACATAACCAGACTCAAATAATAGATCAAATAATAACTGCACATGTAAAAGATTGGTTTACCTATCAGTGTGAACTACCCGAGAGAAAAGAATCAAGCGTGCTGAAACTCGTGGAGGACTTTAATAGCCAAATTTCTTACATTCAACTGTAGAAAATTAAATATTCAGGTACATATTTAGGGGCATTTTTGGATCATGACCAGCAATAGCATCTGTATTATCTATTACATTTGTAAAGACAGTGCAAGATAGAGCTAAAAGCGTAAACAAACCTTCCATCTTGGCCACTTTAAGAGAGTACTCAAATGGTGTGTCTACTTCCTCCCAAGAGTGACCGATTTTTAATGACATGCTCATAGTAGATATCTTCACCATAAAGTCGTCTAGAAAAACACAAATACCAGTTAAATCGTCAGCAGATCATTGAAGCAAACAGATATAAAAATATTGGAAGTGTTTGTACAATATACCTCCTAATTCTCAAAGAAACTGAAAATGCTGGTAATAGAAGTCTGACAATAAAATATTAAAAGATAGAAACGTACGCCAGATCAGCTAAGGTGTCCGACTTAATCACACCCTTTCCCTCAGGAAGTTCGAGACAAGAATAGTGCATAATCATTTCCTTCAACGTGTGTTTGGTGCTTTTGACATCGTTATCCCATAAGATGCTCTGAGACAACAAGTTTCAGTTAGGGGCAAATAACCAGAGCTAAAAAAATTGAAAATAAAAAGTAGGTAATAGCCTCAACTACCTTTCTAACGTACTCCATTTTTACATCTTCCCATGGTAATTTTCCTTTAGGAGAAAAAATAGAAGCATTCCAAAGTGCACCTCTGGCAACCATTACAGAAGAAGCACCTTTGGCACAAACATGAAGACAAATGAAATGGTAGATTCACCACAATCCGTGATCACGAGGAAATATTAGACTCAACAGCCTCAAATGCAAATGGGCAAAAACAGATCCAGTCGATGTATTTGAAGCAAACTTAAACACCACTGGCTGAATGGAGATATGAACACAATAGCCAGATGATTATCGTTTTGCAGAATACGAACATACGCCAATCCGAGAGTACAAACTACGGAAAACATGAAGAAAGTTGAATCTTCGGTCTCTCCAGGAAAAGAAAACACCCACGCCACAAGATATTAGCATATAGAATTACACAAATGGGATGGTCCGATCGCCGTGAAAATTTAATGCATAAACAAGAAACTTTTGGACACATAACTGGAGGAATTATTCAGAAGTCTTCCAATTATAAAAAAGGGACGGTACCTGTGTCTACTTTTATGCGTTCAAAATCCTCATACTCAAATACATCACCATTTGCTATAACTGGGATAGAAAGTGCAGCTACAACATCAGCAATCTCACCCCACTTAGCTGGATCTCTTGGCCTATCAGCCACTTTCCTACAGTACCAATCAATATGTATAATGAGATAACAAGTTGAATAGCAGCACTGAATATAAAGAAAAGCGTAACACTGATAGATCTACTTTATTTTATTTTTTGTATAAGCTCTATTGGGTGTGATTGGATATGGATTTGATTGGTTTATTATTGGTTTTTTTGTTAACCATAGTTAATTTTGAAAAAAAGTGGTATTGTTAGTAGTTAGTGGAAATTTAAATTGAAATTAAAATAATATTTAAAATAAAATAATTGTTACATTGATGTAGAGTAAAAGAAAAATAACTGCAAGTGATGGTTAGTTAAAATTATGTGAGTAGATGAATAGTGCATTATATAATATTGGGTATAGAAGCGTTGGGTTAAAGTTGAGCTAAATTTGAGTTTTGATTGGTTTTTTACTAGTCAAGTTTATATTCAATCACACCTATAGTGATCATCATTTACAGATACATTCAAGAAGCTTGTTCCACTTATACAAATACAGAAATGTGATGCATTAAAACAATAAAATATAACAGAATCAGGGTTTATAGTGCATTTTGTGTCTTTCAGAGACAGAAAATTGTTGAAAATACCTTCCATGGACAGCTAGAGCAGAAACACCAGTTTTCTCAATTCTTCGTGCTAGTTCCACGGTGTCTTGGGGTGACTTTAGCAGACGGATCTTGCATGTCACAGGTGTCTCAAGATTTCGTTTCAATGTTGTCAAAATCTTATTCAATGGGGAGAAAACCGTAAGTCAGTGAACGGATACTCAGAGTTTAGCTAAAATAAGTGAAGTCAGATAAGAGTGAGTTGTAAGTCAGTCTGACGGATGCTCAGAGTCTAGCTATAATAAGTGAAGTCAGCTGAGAGTAAGAGCAACTCACGTACATCATGAATAAGATCTGGTTTTGACAATAAAGCAGCACCCATTCCACCACTAATAGAAAAAGACTTTGGGCAACCCATATTTATATCCACAGCAGCCACGTCCGTACACCTAAAATAGACAACTGCTTAGGATAATGTTACATATAACAGCATCAGGGAGCTTAAAGCTGTTATTATGCTGAATCCCAGGTTATAATCACATGACTAAATTGCTCAGATCGCACTGGCAGAAAGAATTTAGTCCCATCAATCTGAATCATTTTCTCTCCAGTCACCGTGAAGAATAAATAGGCTTCGGGCGACCAAAATGTGGATGAACCAGATGCCATTTTAGTGATATTTCATATAAACTATTGTTTCCTTTTAGTTAGGATCTTAGAACTCCTCCCATATTAATTAATTGTCTAGGTCAATATCAAAGATACAACCTTGGTACCAAATCTCATTATATAGTAGAATATTTTTGCACTTGTCATGGATTGAAGTTGTAATTAAACATCAATTAGACAAACTACGGTATCCACATTATTAATAGCACTCCCTATCACACTTCCAAAAGCCTCAAACAAAGTCCACCACGGACAGTGTGCAGCCAAAATCGGTCAATACAACACATAACTTGATTGCATATAGAATCAAAATTGAAGAGGGAGATTAACTTACACAAGTTGGGCAGCACGAAGGGCCCTCACGGCATCTGATGTTCCCATCTGGAAAACAACCCTACTTTTCTCTTCGGGACATGTTCTGAAAACAACACTCTCTGTCCCTTTCTCAACCACATCAACAGTCCCAAGCACATCTAATGGAAGTCCAAAAACCACAGAAGTACCAATTATAAGAGAAGATACAAAGGAAATCCATCTATTGGCTGGCTGGAGGTAAAAATAATCTGTTTAAAACTCAAAACATCATTAAATCCCACATAAAATAAAAGCAACAGAAACAATCAGCACTATAACCCTTGAGTACCATTGATTTTCCGATAGCATTTGAGGAGCTTGTGATCAATAATCTCTTCCCCGTATGTGATGTCAGCCCCATATTCGGCAGCTAGCATCCTAAACGGCAACGTACCCTAGATTTCAAAAAATAAGCTCAAGCTATCAATGGAAAAAACGAAAACATAAAAAAATCAGCAACAATCATTGACAAGTACCCCAGTATGAGGATAAGGAAGCAAACAATAAAGCAGTTAGTATACTCACGACTCGAACCATTGGGGCCAGGACAAGCTTGTTGCAGTAATCCATCTCCATGGAAGGACAGTATATTAATTGACCCAATCAAGACGGATAACAAAGCAGCTAAAAAATTCGAACTGAGCTATAGGTTCAGCACCTAAATTGTGCCGTTCACGGCGGTCGGCCGCCGTGTTCGAGCGAGGCTTTCCTGAGCTTGTACCAGTTATTCCAGAGGTGCTACTTGCTGTAATTTTGCTGATGACCTTTCCCAATTCCATGTTAAATTGTTAATTAAATAGTTACTTACTAGTATAATAGTTTCCTAGTCTACTAGACGTGTGGTTGATAAAATAGTTAAACATATAATAAAAAATAAAATAAATTCGATATTTTGTTAAAGTTAGAAAAAATACATAAAGAAAAATATATTAACAATTTATAATAAATAGCTATGTAAATTAACCACAAAATTGATCGTCTGTTAAGTAGTATCCCGTATTGAGTTTTGTTAACCACGAAATTGACTTCTGGAGCTACATCATGTAAAACATAATTAAATATGGAGACTCATGTAGTACATTTACATCATTTCGTGATCCCGCGAGCCCAAAAAATGCGTGTCAAGTCCATAAGTCTTGTGATGCCACTGCTTCAAGCATAATCGTGGGTACCCCATAATTCCCTCGAGTGTACGAGCCTTGCCATCTAACTGGACAATTTTTCCACTCCCACTGCATACAATCTAGACTTCCCAGAAAACCATGTTTCACTTCGTGTAATGTAAGTATTCTTTAGATGTCATTGGCATTTGGGGGGCGCAAATATTGGGGTGCATATATTTCTTGCACAACACGACAAAACTCGAGCAAACTTCGATTCGTCGTCTGCTCTGACATACGAAGGTATTTGTCACATTGATCGGCAGGAGCTCCGTACGCTAGTTGACGTATAGCCGCAGTACACTTCTGAATTGGTGTAAAACCTGGTCTTCGTACTGCATTTGGTCTACACTTAAAATAATCAGAATGACCTTCGACATCCTGAACGATCTGACAAAATAATCGTCTAGACATACGGAATCTATGACGAAAGTAGCCTTCGTGGCATATGGGATCGGAAATAATCTCTTATCAATAGCCCATGTCCAGCTTCACGATTTCGAGGCACTTCTCGTCTTTCACGCCTAGTTGAACTTTCATCTTGCCCGCTTGCTGCAATTCCATAGTCGTTGCCTCCATCAAGGCAAATTCAGCTTGCTCCAAAGAACCGTCAAGCATTTTGTTCAAGAAAGCACGACATAAGACTCTATCATTATCACGGCTAGCCATTTTAGAGAAGTTAAAATTTTTTATGTTTGTGAAGAAAGAAATGAAAGAGGTTGTGTTTGCGGTTGTGGAGTTGATGAGAAGAAAGAAGGAACAAGAAATTGGAAGAGGTTTTTGGATGTGGTTGTGGAGTTGATGATACTATGCTATTTATAGTGAAAAGTGATTGTGTTAGGTTAGCTCGTGTAGTGTTAGATATTATTGTAGTAGGTGACATGTATGGTGCAGTAGGTGGCAAGTAAGGTGTGTTAAGTAATAATGTTATAGGTATTATGTTGTAGTGGGTGGTGTATTAGGTATTAGTGTTGTAGGTGAAAGTGAATAGTGTGTAATGGATTAAATGTGGTCGGTGAACCAATAATTTAAGTATTGTACCGCCTGATAATATGTATGTATAAAACTGACATTGTTTTAGACTCCGAAAAAAATATTGAATTTAATTGTATGGTATAAGAATGAGTTAGATATGTTGTCGAAAAACAAGTGAAAACGAGTCTTTTTCAAAGTAGAACGAACGCCAACAAACATTTATCGAATAAAATAGAAGTAAAAATATGTTATTTTCGTTAAAATATGATTGGAATTCAGTTAGCTTGAAAATTTTGAATTTAATTGTATGATACAACAACATGTTAGATTTGTTTATAAA